GTAAAATAAAAATCTTCTCTAGAACTGGCAAATTTATTGGGACTTTTAGGACCGTTTAGGACCGTTTAACATCCCTATTTTCTTACATTTTGACCTTCTATGGGATCACCTTATTCTTCAAATTCATTAAATTCAAGTAATTCGCTTTGGAATACATCTGTTGAATTTTTCTGTGCTAGTTGACTCACTGTATCATTAAGTGTACTAATTTGCACGAGACATTTTTATTTATGTCAGTTACACCACTGCCAATAGTACTAAGGTACTACAAAATTACGTAAGAGATTGATTTGTATAATGTATTCATAGTATATTAATCGCACTGTATATCACGTTACCTGATTTAAATCTTCGATATCGGACTTAATAATATCTTTATGGTCTTTGTCAGCACGTATGTTAAAGTCAACCATCAAAGAAAATTGCAGAAGATGTATAGTAGAATCAAATTCATTCACTAATTCTTTAACATTTTTTTCAATATTTTTGGCTTGAATATACTTGTTTAACCATTTTAATTGAGAAATTATTTCAATAAATTTACGAATTTTGACAATAACGTGAACCAATTTTTGTACATTAAATAAATTTACAAATTATCTTCCCTACGATTTTTTAAATTCCTTACGGCCGTATCAGCTACTAGAACTCTATCTATCCAACATTATCCCACATATTTTTTTATTATGCTCAGCTTCTTGATATATTTCTACTATATCATTGGATAATTTGGTTACATCTGTGAAAAGTGGCAAAAAATTTGCACATGGTACTGCGACTTCTCTAGGATTATCAAACATTTTTTTCGAGTTTTTAGAGTTTTTAATTAATTTAGTTCTCCTCGATGGTGCCTGACTGCCAATATGAATTATCTATATTGTAACACAAAAATTTGTAAATCAAATACAAATACGCGTAAAGTACTATATCGTGCTACCTTATTTAATTCGTTTATCTCAGACTTATTATCTTCATTATCTTTATCGGCAATTTCATCGTGGATTAATGTAGTCGATTTAACTCTAAGATGTCCAATGGTAGCATCGGTAATTATTATTTCTGAGGAAACCTTCTTTACATCAGTAACAATATCACGGTTCTGTACGATGACAAAAGAATTATTAAAATATCCCACAAATTATTCATAAAATTATAAAACCGGGTCCTGAGATAAATCTTCGATATCAGATTTAACATCAACATTCATGAAAAGAACTTCAATGATATTTTGAATGTTATCAAATTTATCAAGTACTTCAAATTTCTTATTCAACTTCTCTTTGGTCAAAATATACCCAAATAAGTCCAATTCACAATCTTTTTCGTGATTATCAATCCTTAAACTTCCATAATCCGAATGAAGGATACAAATACGTATGTCAATAATAGCAGAAGACTCGACTGTTTGTTACGGAATCGTTGTTTCCATCATGTTGAACTTTGGATCTATCCAAACTTTGTTCATTGTCACTGTAAAAATTTTTTTCCGTGTTTTGAATCCGTATTTTTTCCGTTTTTATTATTAAATGCAAGATTACGTGTTTTCTCCATAAATGTAGCATATTCACGGAATTTATAATTATAAATAATGGAAATTTTATTGATACGCATTGATTAATAAGACGGAAATTTTTCGGAATAAACTCAGTAAATTTACTGAATTATATTATGGAAATTTTTCGGAATAAACTCAGTAAATTTACTGAATGATATTATGGAAATATTTCGGAATAAACTCAGTAAATTTACTGAATGATATTATGGAAATATTTCGGAATAAATACAGTAAATTCACTGAATGGTATTATGGAAATGTTTTGGAATAAATAAAGTGAATTCACTGAATGGTATTATGGAAATGTTTCGGAATAAATGCAATGAATTCACTGAATATTATTATGGAAATGTTTCGGCCTAAATGCGGTAAATTCACTGAATGGTATTATGGAAATGTTTCGGAATAAATGCGGAAATTCACTGAATATTATTATGGAAATGTTTCGGAATAAATGCGGTAAATTCACTAAATATTATTATGGAAATGTTTCGGAATAAATGCAAT